ACACACACACACACACACACACACACACACACACACACACACACACACACACACACACACACACACACACCATTAGCAAAGTTAGCAGACTTGTTATATTTTTATATGGTTTGAAACAAGTCTTTGTGTCTACAGGTGACAGATCCTCAATGTATAAATGAATGTAGACATAAAAAGCTCCCAGATAAGCCTGAAGTACAGCTACTGTCTGTGCCTCATGTTGCACAAGGTTTGTTTCCAATTGTCAGAAAAAAACAGACAAGTAATTCTATCCATGTACTTTATTAGAAATACTCGTAATTACTTCTACTTGTCACGATTACAACAAACGATATTTGACTGCAGATAACATGAATGACATGTCATTTAAGTAAACAGGATAATGTATTGATAATGGCTGAATAAAACATATAAACAATTATTTCCATTTCAGTAATTGGACTTCAATAGCTATGATTTGCTGGTGTTTGGTATGGGTGGTGGTGGTGGTGGTGGTGGTGGTATTATATACATAACCTTGGTTTAGCAGGCTACTTGTTAGGTTTCTTTCCATATTCAAAAATAGTATCTACAGATGACCGAACTTAAAAGGTGGTTCGGTCATAAACACCGACAGAAAAATCATACTGTAAATAAATGTTTCCAGGAATCGTTCAATAAATCCAAGAGTGAAAACTGTACCATTACAGCTTAGGTATACATACAAAGATTGTACATATAAAAAAATATAAATAATGAATTAATTACACGTTTGACAGTCTGACCAAGATAATATAACTTAAAGAAAACTGTCAATTTCCCCACTTGACCACCAGTGTAACATCTCCAAGCACTGGTCGGAAAGCTAAAGCTAACAACTACGCTATCAACGAACCTCTTTTTCCTAGATGACAAAATAGCAGCCAAACCATTWACTTACCTGGTAAGACCGAGACAAAAGTTAATCGACTATATTGTCAAATATATGGGACAACACGCTGTGATATGTTTGAAAATCAGACCGTATTTCTCAAAACAAACAACACGACTGTAAGCTAGCTCGTATCCATTGCTGCCATATTTTACCAAGCGAGGACGGGTTTGCCCGATTTCTATCCCGGCGCGCGCAACTTTGTTCTGCGTGGGTGGAGTTTGTTTTATACAGTAACATAAGATGCTCCGCTCACTCAGAGGCGAGACCGGTGTGCGTACGATACGTCGGCATAAAAAAGGAGCAGACTTCCTGATCAACAAGGTGATGCATTTACTTGGTGTAGGAAAATGAAAAATAAAATTGAAAGTGATTTCGGAAAAAATAAAATTAAATAAAAAATACAAGATGATTTTTATTATTGATTTATAC